AATACGTCATATTTTACAACAAACGTCCCGCTGATAATGGACCTAATTCTCATCAATACTACTCGACAACAAATGCTGTTGTTGAATTATGTGAGGTGCAGGTGTTTGGTAATTATTAAAATTTATCATAACATTATTTTAGTTTTTATATCACTACGACGAATTTTTAGATATCTCAAAGTCGAATGTCATATGCACATATATATAATTTAATAGTAGCTCTTTCATTTTTTTCCGGAAGAAATATATTTATAAAAGCTTTCGGATGTGATTAATTAGCTGTGAATTCACAACAACATAAACAGATAAGTAAACTATTTCCTTCTGTTAGGATGTCCGGTAAACAGTTTTGGACCTACCTGTAGTGGAACATGTCACTGTAGCGTGAGTGGATGTGATCCTGATACCGGACTATGTGACGTCAATGGATGTCAGAGTGGATGGATGGGGCTTACCTGCTCTGAAGGTAAAATAACTTAAGATATGTCTACATGTATAATATATCACTAAATTCACATGTCGAGTTATCAACAAATGCTTTTATTTGGCAATTCCTTTCAGTTTCATGCCGGTATCAACGCAATTTTATACATGTACTGTGCCTGTAGTTTCCAAACAAATAATAAGTGAAATAAGTATCGATATTATTTTTTCATTTCTTTCAGAATGTGAAAGTGGCAAATTTGGCATGAACTGTAGCCATACATGTCATTGTTTACAACCTGGATGTGATAGAGAAACCGGAAGTTGTATGGTACCAGGATGTGAAGCCGGATGGCAAGGGAGTGCTTGTGATCAGAGTACTAATTTTGTTGTCTGGTTTTATTCCATTTCATAGATGTGATTCTTTATTTTGATTAACATATCTACATTATTATAAATAATATATAATTTGCGTTTATCTTCAGCTACATTTAAACATCAGGTTCTTGTTAAAAGTCAAGAAATGTTATAGGCGTTTCCTTCATTACAAGTTAATAATCTATATATCTGAAATAGAACTTTTAAGCAATTTATATTTGTGACAGTGTATTTGTGCTGTTTCCTTTATAACTTGTTTTCATTGCTATATAAGGACTTAAAGGCATTTTGTTCACAATTTCATGCCGGTATGAACGTAAGCCGGTTACGTTACAAACATATTTAACATGAAGCCCCGTCGTTTTTTTACGTTCTACATATTTATTAACCTTAAAATAAATATTTTCGTATGTGTTCGGTATTGACGACACGGCCAGTGCAATCAACATTCCTGAACTAGCTCAACGTCACCAAAATGTTTGCTTCTAACTGTTGTCTCTAATCGACGCGGAAGCACTTTTTCAAAATGACGTTGATCGAATTGCGTTCAGAGCTCTATGAACGCAATTTATTCTGGAAATGCTTATAGAGGAAATGGCACTGGAAAAGTTAATATGCTGAAATCAAACAATTCAAACCATGCTAACATTAACATTATCTAATTAAAATTTGCTATTTATTCAGAGTGCGGAACCGGCAACTTTGGCGATAAGTGTTTACAGGCATGTCACTGTGCTTTACCGGGGTGTGACCAATTCAACGGGAGCTGTACACAACCAGGATGTGAACCTGGATGGACAGGAATGGCTTGTGATAAGGGT